TATCCTAGAGCAGGGGTTGACCAGCTCTTTCTGTAAAGGGTCAGATAGTAAATATCTTAGTTTGGGAGGGATAGATGGTTTCTGATGCAACTACGTAACTCAGCAGTTGTGTTGAGAAAGCCGCCATACACAACATATAAATGAATGTGTAGCAGTGTTCAATAAAACTTTATTTAAAAAAAGAGATGGCAGTTCAAATTTGATCTGTGGGTCATAGTTCACTGAGCCCTCTCCTTTTCCAGACCTTGTGAGAAAATTAATTAATTACCAGGATATTTTTCTCGGATGAGCCCACTAGCTCATTTATTTTATTGCCATTTCAATTAGGCCAAGGCTAAATGTTTATTTGACTATTTTCTCATCAAGTTCAAGAAATCCAGTGGCTCAATTTTGCAAGTTGCCCTTTCAAACATATTTCTGCCTAGAGATTCATTCTCATTAATTAAGCTGTCCCTGAACTGTCTTAAGTGTGTAATCGCACAATTGAAGTGCAAACAATGGGTGTGATAGTTGATGTTTTTGAGGCGCAAATGATAAAATGAGATCAGACAGGCAGGAAATTGATTAGGGGAAATGTCTGTAAGGGAAAATTGAGAAGAAGCCAGAGTTGTCTAGGAGCCTAGCGGTCCTCTGCCTGGGATGCAGGTCTTACCACAGTGAAGAGGAGAGAGAGAAGGGAGACAGAGTGGAAATCTTAGTTTGCAGAACAGTTGTGGGAAAGTGTGGCAAGGCCAAGTTCGTGTCAGAGGAGTCCTGCAGCTCCCAGGAGGGGGTCTGACCAAGTATCGCTGCCACCACATGTCACTGGCTGGAAGTGGCACTGGAAATTGTGGGTTTCAGAACCCAGCGACTCAGAACACTGGTCAGTTGCACTCTCCAAAGAAGGAGATTGGAAAGATGTATTTTTATGACTTTAAAGAAAGGTTTCGTAGCTAAGTAATTTAATGGAAAGTTAAGAAAGAAATGGTTTAGAAAACTTTGCCATATTCACTCAGTCAAACTCACTGATGATAAGAACGGCTTTACTTATTGTTGTATTCTATCAAAGAGGTACTTTGTGAATTTAATATATCTTTGTAAATTTGATAAAATTCCATTTCTAATACTATGGGTCCCATATAAGTCATTGAAAACTGGAGAAAACTGGGGTGCAGTATCTGAGCAACTTCCCTACAGCTGCACAGCCAGCAAGGACGACTCTGGGCCCTGGGATTGCGAGGGATGGTGTGTGGTCACATGGTAAAGAGGAATAATTGGGGGAACCATCAGCACAACAGAGAAGCGCAGCATCTTCGTCACTTTCAGAAAACATTCAGTGGCTACTACTAGGTTTACCTTTACTTTTGCTTTATCTGATTGCCATCTTACCCACTGCTTAAATTCATTTAGTGTCCACCACCTTGGAGAGAGGAGGGAGGCACAAGAGAGAGGCAGAGAGATGAGAGCTGTTAAAGCTTGCAGACTCCGATGCCAGCTTCCTGGGTTCAAATCTTTGCTCTAACCTTTACCCCCTTCTTTCATCTGGGGCAAGCTGCTTCGCCTCCCTGGGTTTCCGCTTCTACTTCTTTAAACAAGAGATGCTAACAGTACCTACCTCACAGAATCAAAAAAAAAAAATTTATTGAATACCTAATATATGTAAAATTTCTTAAAACAGAGTTGAGCACAGATCATTAGAGGTGAATTTTAATATAGTTTGTCCATTATTGTGCCTCCAATCGAAATTGGCCCAAGGAACAAGTCAGAAATAGACTCTCATTACAGGAAGGGACACAAATCACTTTTGAAACGAAGCCCTTCATATTGCTCACTTGGAAAGAGGAACTGGAAGGAGAGGAGACATTGGTACAAACTGATAACAGAGTGAGAAAAACACTGCAAGCTGGAACAGAGAGGAAGAAACAGGCAGGTGTTGGTTCCTAATTCTCACCACCACGGCCCGCAGAGTTATTTAAATGTGCTCATTATCTGTCTCTCTTCTGATCATGATGCTTATTGAGCACACGAGTAGTTTTAAATGCCATCACAGTAAAACCATGGCTCCAACACCTTTTGCTAAGTTCAAGCCTAGGAGGTCAGCAGAGGCCTGGAAAGCGATGCGACTTCTCTCCAGAACATCATCACGTGAAAGCTAGGACACTGAAATATACAGCAAAACCACTGACATGAGCTCCTGAAATAACTGAGGACCTGACGTCAGTTTAGGAAAAGCAGCACTTGCCAACCATAAAACAAAGTAGGACTAATATGGAAGCAAAAACCTGGGAACACACCTGGGTAGCACAAAAGGCTTTATTAGTTTACAAGTGCGTACCATAAATAACAGAGCATGTTGACATCGAGGACTAATTCAAGATTCAGTTTGCAACCCTGGCCCTGCATCAGGACTTGAGTGCACCTGAGTAGTTGGGCCTGAGGAGAACATGTCCTGTTGCAAAGGTTCCAACAAGCACCGCATAGGTATACTTTCACACCAAAGGGGTCTGGAGCCTCCCTCTCAATGCGACTTGGGATAGATTTAAAATTTCTAAGATGTTTGCAAAGTTTTAGTTATCTTAAAGATCTTGGTGCATCCAAAAATGTCATTGGCCTTTAATAACTACTTAGTTTTAGCTGCTCAACATAGGGAGTAGGTTCTCTTCCTATGAATTTTTTGTACTATTTTCCATAAAGCATATATCTCAGCCTTAAGGATGGAGAACTAGTTGTTATGTCTTAAAATCTTACATAGTTTGTACCTCAGCAGTGATTAGTATGCTGACAATGGGGATTTCCCCCCACAACTCCAATTCCTAGGTAGAAAGAGGACAAGAACAACTCAAGAGGTTTTATGGGATGAAAAAAAAATCCTGTCATGTTTGTCTTAAAACTTATGATGATATTCTAACAGAAATGCATACAAATTTCAAATGTTCAATCAAGTAAGGTAATAGTGATTGTGTATTTCAGGTTTTGAATATATAGAATGCTTTGTAGGAGATGGTGAGCATCCTGTTCTAATGAAAATAGAGAAAATACACTCATAGCATTGATACCACAAGAAGCCAATGTTCATAGACCACCAAGCTTACTTACTGTGATGATAAAAGACTATATGAAGTCTCATACATTTTAGTAGTAATATGTAGTTTTCCCTTCCCCACCACCCAAGGTTTTCTGATGACAGTGTGCTATCGTCAAAAATATTTTCCAAAGACTATGTAATTTATTGCTCCAATGTAACCCACAAATTCTCGTTCAATTAGTTAATTGTTGGTATTACTAATCAAGGGGACAGAAAAGGAAAGAAAGGAATATGCCTCAGTTGGTTTTCCAGATTTGATTTACAGCTATAATAATGTGAGAAAATCACTCAAACCTCCTGCCTGCTCTAAATGTTTTCAAAAAAGTCATTCGTAAAAGGGAAATCGGTTTGCGTAATATAATATGTTCTATCCATATAAATGATTGTTATTATTTCTCTTTAAATATCAACAGTGTAATTCCATTAACTCAAATGAAATAAAATACAAATAAGATTGCATCTTACTTTTATTTTTATCTTTGTTAATCCTCACAGGAGGATATTTTTCCAATTATTTTGAGAGAGAGTGAAAGCAAGGGAGAGTCGGGGAGGGTGGGAAAGAGAGAGAGAGAGAGAAATATCAATGTGAGAGAGACACATCAATTGGTTGCCTCCCACATGTGCCCCAACCAGGGCCAGGGATCAAACCTCCAGCCAGGTATGTGCCCTTGACCAGTAATAAAACCCTCAACCCTTTAGTCCATGGGCCAACACACTAACCACTGAGCCATACTGAAGGGTGCATCTTACTTTTAAATTTACATTGCTGAAATAATTAAACAAGGAAGCCATTAGACTGATGTGGCTCTAATGCTCTGAAACCAACCTGAGCAAACCAGAACCTAAGCCAGAGTCAATACACTTGAATCCAAGAAAACGAAAATTAAGAACAACCAATCACAGCCAAACAGTCTTCCCCAAATAAGGCAACTACTTAAGCTGTAGCCAATCGAATAATTGCTTTGCTTCTCCATCTTCTCTCTTAAAACCTCCCCCTTGCTTCTGTAGTACAGCACTTCTGTGTAGTACTGTGGACAGGCGCTGCCCAGTTCTAACCAATGTTTGCTCAAACCAACTCTTGAAAATTTTAATGTGCCTCAGTTTATCTTTTAACAGTACTATCTTAGCTTTAAATCCAGAAATCAACCATACTGGGTTTCAGAATGGTAACTGAAATAACTATTTTCATGTTTTAAAGCAGACCAAGAGATCATCTTCTAGTCACCAAAAATGATATTTTCATTACACAGTGATAATAGGTTTGTGACAGCGACAATTAAAGGTATTTTACGGACTTGTACATAGATAAGTATGACTGTACATAAATAAACATGTCATTGCCCGTGGTAGGATAATATATACTATATATGTATGTTCATGCACATATGTGTATATGTATATATATATATATATGCAGAAAGAGTTTTAATCGACTCCTCATTATTAATTCATGCTGAATAAAAAGAAAATACACGTTCCTGATTCGTTTATCTGAGGTCTTCCTTCCTATCCACGGAGTGCACACAACCTCTGCAGGTACTATCATGGCTAGCAAACTACCAGAGATGAAACAGGACAGGTGAAAATGTTCATAAAAGGTACCACTTTGACCCAGATGATCATTTTGTTTGACACATATCATATCACAGTTGGTAGCTACAGTGTTTCTTTGAATTTAAGCACTGATTTAATCGTTTGCCAGTCCTGTTTTACAAACACATGCAAAGCTAAATATACCAACCCTCATTTAATCAAAAGAAACATGCATAGTATGTCAGGCAGTCATTGTTGTTAGTACCAATAAACAAAAATGTATATGTTTCCCCAGTCCCCGTGCTGAAATGTGCTCTGTGTTTATGGAGTAAGCTAAAGGAAAGAGAGAAAAAAAAAAAAAACCTTCCCGATTAAGCGTTTGTCGACTGGCGTAGGGGGGTACCTGGGTTTCAACATCTGTCAGCTTTCTGGTTTGCTCTGCGGTCTGAGAGAGGAGGCTGGTTCCTATCTCGAGCATGGTGGCCGTGTGGTTCTGAACTGCATTCTGCTGTATCTGAGCCATTTCCGACTTCATATTTTCCACAACGTAATTCTCAATCTGCAAGAGATAAAGGACAAAATATACTACATTATAAGCAAAGTCTCTCAGTTGGGGCATGTAATATTTACAATGACAAAACGAGACACAGCTGGCTAATCAGCCATCTGGCAGGGATCCTCTGTATCTCTGGGACTTAGGGAAATCAGAGCCGAACACACAGAAACCCAGTTGTTAACAAACTGCTAATAGACTGATACATGTATGTACTCATCACAATCATAATGAACATTTGCACTTGGACAGTACTTTCTGGTTTTTGACATCATCTCATTTCACCCGCAGAGCAAAGATGTGAGAATAAGCCACAGATTGCCTCCTCGTTCTTTTTATTTTATAGCTGAGGAAACAGAATAAGAGAAGGTCAATAATGAGCCCAAGGTCACCCAACAGGAACGCAGCGGAGTTAGCATTAGATAACTGGAATATAAATCTTGGTTCTCTGGTCTTTCCATTACACCATATAGACCACTCACTCATCTCAGAAAAATTCAGCCTTCTTCCATTTCTATAACAAAAAATAAAGACCATGCTGAGTTTGGGGAATGAAACAAGGGGTGGGAAGAAGGTAAATGCCCAAAACACAAGCTTGTAAAGGAATATTAAAGTACAGGCAACCGCATATGGAGTGAGCTGCAAAGCCTCAGAGCTAGGCAAAACCATTCTCATTGCTCCTTTGCAAGCTCAAAATAATAATAATAATAACTGCTCTGAAGGTTGCCAATAAATCTGCATTTGCCCTTCTCACCTTGGGTAACATTTAGTCCTGTTTATGGTGCCATCTTACAGAATACTATAGTTATAAATTAAAAGGTATACCACAGGGGGCCAAGAAGAATTACTAGGTGACTTACTATGAGGGAGTCTGGTAGGCATCTGGGAGAATACAGCTAATCATATGCACTGTTTGAAAAACACAGAAGAAGCCTGCACCTCCCTGTCAGAGCACTTAATTCTCCCCCACCACTGTGTGGTGACTACATTTTATTACCCAATTACACATATGGGGAAATTGCATCCCAGAGAAGTCAGGTCCAAGGCCACACACCACAAAAACAGCCAGACTTGGATTTGAGCGCTGAGGTCCTTAACTTTCGTACCAGCAATTTTAACCACTGGTTAGCTCTGCCAAGCGGTGCTTCCCAAGCTGGGCTCCAAGTCATTAACAGCTACGTGATTTGTACTGATTCAGTGATCCATCATGCATCCGTCATTTTATAATCCATAGTAACATACTGTCATGTAACAAATACAGTCTAAGACTAAATTCCCCTTTGTGAAACTTTGACAGCTTACTTTCTCACACCATCTCTTGCTTATTTCTATTTATAAATATGAATGAATCTGCCTCAAGCTAAAGAAGATGCAAGGTTAGAACCAAACTCATATTGTTGTTAATCGATTCTTTTGTTCTTGGTCAATATAATGTAACTCCCCTTCATCCTTTATTCCCAAATTAGAAGTAGTGGAGAAAATTTGACCTATAAAATTTTATTATAAAATAAATAAAAAGTAGATTAAAATAAATATCTGGAAACCATCTTAACAAAATGTAAGGTCTCTAAGCCAAATTTTGGCTTTGTTCCAACTGAACTAACACATTTAAACAGCAGTGGATGGGTAGAGTTAAGCAGGGTCAGTCAGAGTATCAAACATCTGATGTTTTGGATTCTGCATTGCATGTTCCCTCTTTTCCTAATTACATTCCTTAAATGTCTTTTGGAAAATGATCTTTCCCATCTTCCAAACAAATGCTCAGGTGGAGTTGTCCCCTCTAGGGTACATGTTTGAGCCTGAAATCCAGAATATTGTGTTCTTACCTAGAGAGAGTGAATCTTTCATGACTAGAAAAATATTCTAAGCAAGGCCACTAAGTCTCAGTTCTGGAATTTTGTCCAAGTAGTTCACTAAAGAAGTTCTTTTACCTCTGTGGTCAGTAGGATGGTAATATACATGCCTGAGACTTCATCACAGAACCAGAGCCAGCTTAAGAATGAGGCCAACCCAGACAGACAGTTAGATAGATAGATAGGCAGACAGGCAATATAGATAGAAGGATATCTTATATTTTTAAATCCTCACCCGATAATATGTTTTTATTGATTTTAGAGAAAGAGGAAGCAAGTGAGAGAAACATCGATCAGTTACCTCCCAAACACTCCCTGACCAGGAATCAAACCTACAACCTAGGTATGTGCTTTCACTGGGAACTGAACCTACAACCTTTTGGTGTATGGAATGATGCTCCAACCACCTGAGCTACCTGACCAGGACAGCTCTAAAGAAGGATATCTTTAGAGCACCTGGACCCAATCATGTTTTGGCCAGATCCACCCGTGGGCATTCAGTTGCAAAGTGTGTGATCTAATAACCTCCTCTTGAGCAGCCCACTTTTTTTTCTCTTCAGTCACTTGATTGAGATTTCTAACACAACCTAAAGAGTCTTGTTAATACTGCTGATAGATGTTTAGCAAAGGGAGGCTCAGACAGGCAAACATCAGCAGTGTGTTCTTTGCTTATCCAGGGAATTGGGGGCTGTGTATGAATATGTATATTCTTAAATATGGCTGGTAACTCTCCATCATGGAAATGATAACTGTCACTTATGTGTCTAGTCTGTGGCAGGCACTGAGCTAAGTGCTTTTATTTTTATAACAGCACTTTTTTATAGATGCATCGTAAGTGGAACTATTGAGGCTTAGAAAATTCAGAACTTGCTAATGAAGAAATCAGAACTCAACCCCCACTGCCAACCCATGCTCTTAACCTCTAACCTATTCAGCTTGGCACTACTTAATTACTCTACATATTTCATTATGTAGCTCCTAAACCTTGTATGTTCATCAAAATACTAGATAGGGAGTGTTTCAAAAATGCGGATAAAGTTATAACACACCAGAACTCTAAGTCAGAATTTCCAAGGATATACTACAAGGGGACTATATATTTTCAAAAGCTTCTGACTGCAATTCTCATTCAGGCAAAGACCAGTGCTTCTCAAGATGTGGTCCACAGAATAATGGCCTGTATGAGAACTGTTTGTGAACAGTCTGCCATGAGATAAAGACCTCATGCCAAAATGTAAATTAGCATCACTAAGCACACTGTTGAGTTCACTTGTACTATATACATATATGTATATATAAGACATTGGAGCAAGACTTTCTCAATAAAGAAATTGATGCTCTAGCACTTTAATTTACATTCTGCTGCAAGCTTCTTACTTTGTTTGCAAAATATCCTTGAGTGTCAGTAATTTAGACCATCACGTTTATTCTAACATGTCAGAAGCCCTGCTTACAAAGAAATTTCAAAAAATGACTTGGGCCCTGGCCGGTTTGGCTCAGCGGTTAGAGCGTCGGCCTGCGGTCCGGAGAGACCCGGGTTCGGTTCCCGCTAGGGGCACGTACTTCGGTTGCAGTTTGTCCCCGGCCCTGGTTGGTCGTGCGGGTGGCAGCCACTCGATGTGTCCCTTTCACATCGATGTTTCTCTCTCTCTCTCTCTCTCTCTCTCTCTCTCTCTCTCTCTCTTCCTCTCTCTCCCTCCCACTCTATCTGTACAAAAAATGGAAAAATGTCCTCGGGTGAGGATTAAAAAAAAAAAAAGACTTGGTTTCCCGTGTAGATTTCTCTCCTGAGAAAGAACCCACTGATCAGTGAGCTCTGATACAATCTGCTTGATCATTACACATCAATTTCTATGCAGTTGGTTAGTGGAAGTCAGTTCCAGAGCTTGACTTGCTCTGGGTGTAATAATAATAATCATGTGCTCAGACTCCATAGAGGAGGACACCTCCAGCACAGGGTGACCATGTCAGGGTTCAGTTGCTTTGTGATCCTACCTGTGATAGACTATCTATCTATCTATTCTGTATTTCTGTGCTTTTTTAAACTGTAGGAAGTTAATACCAGTAAAGCAAAATAACTTCTTTATGCCAGCATTCATCACAAAGAACCTCCTAATTTTGCTGGTTCTATTATAGAAATAGTCTCCAATCTATACTAAAATTCTCATTTGGGCTGCCATGACAAGTAACATGAATATAACTCTAGTTAATTATTTCTTAATCAAATGAAGCTGCTTTCTTTAGGAATAACTTCCTTTTAATGCAAAAAAGGTAATGGTACACTTAAGTAGCAAAACCCAGATGCAGTTGATTTAAAGGCTGAGGAGAGAGGCAGGAGTGAAATATACAATGTATGACCAATGAGGAGGACTACTTTCATCCTATCTCTGAACACACCACTGTACACGTATACCTATGAAAATTCATCTTGATGTGCCTTATCAGCTGGGTTAAGGAAAGTTTTGCAACAAATTTGATTGTTTTGATGTATTACCTACTGTTTTTTTTTAAATGTTTACAGAATATGATGGCTATGTCAAGGTTCAATATTTTATAAATATCTATGATGTGAATTTTAAGTTTAGAAGTTGCTGAGCACAAGAGCTGATAGGTTATAAAGTAGGAGACATCCAATCTGAATCATATAATCATTTGCTAGACTGTCTCTCTCAGTGTTTGACTCCAGAGTTGTATAATTATTGGTCAAAATACTTATCAATAGTATGCAGGATTTGATTTGAAAGGAGATAATGAACAATGAATAATGATTTTTTATTAAATATGTTTTCATTGATTTCAGAAAGAGAGTAAGAGAGAGGGAGAAACATCAATGGCAGAAACGTTGATTGGCTGCCTCCTGCCCACCCCACACTGGGGACTGAGCCCACAACCAGGCATGTGCCCTGATTGGGAATCAAACCAGCAACATTTGGTGCATGGGATAAAGCTCAACCAACTGAGCCACACTATGTGGCAGAGCTAAGTGATGATATTTTTAAAATATGTTTTTATTGATTTTTTAGAGAGAGAGGAAGGGAGAGAGAGATAGAAACATAAATGTGAGAGAGAAACATTGATCAGCTGTCTCCTGCACACCCCTTACGGGGGATCAAACCCACAACACAGTCATGTGCCCTGAGAAGGAATCAAACT